TGGTATATTCTGAAATATAATCAGTTTGTTTTGTACATTAGAGGCATGAACAGAATCTTTGAGTCAGAGAGTGACCAAGATGACAATGAAGGCAGTAATGAGGAACCCAGAGGGAAGCAACATCACGTCTCCATCGAGGCAATGTATGTTCAGTTTCACTCAGTTTTCCCCAGTGGTGGAAAGTAACTAAGTACATTTACTCAAGTACTGCAATTATGTACAATTTTTGAGGTATCTCTATAACTTTAGTTACTTTTCAGAACCAATACAGAAATTACAGTATAATCATAAGATTTTATTGATCTCAGGTGGAAGATTCACAAGCTACTCAGCAGTCTAAAGTGTATGCATATAAGTTCTTTGAAAGTAGCTCCCCCCTTACCAGCTGCAACATTAAATAATGCATCAGTATTTATAATTCAATAATATGATATACATTAATGTGAATGTGCCATTCTGCATAACAAGTACTTTTACTTTTACTATGTTTTGATGCTAAAATTTTGTACCTTTTAATTAAGTATCATTTTAAATGTGGGACTTTTACTTGAAACGGTATTTTTACACTGTGGTGTTGCTAGGTGTGATCAGTTTCAGCAAAGTGATGTTTACTTCTCAGATTATTTCATTTGAATATTTTTTATAAGTATTTTACAAGCAGAGAGCAAACACTGAAGAAAGGCCAGACAAATGTCATTTTCCCTTTCTTACCAAGGATTTCTTACTATTGATTATCTTATGTTATTTTGAAAACACTGGAAGAACTCCTGAACCTCCTTTGCTGCACAGGGGGAACACAAACAAAAACTGGTAGGTGTTGATATTGGACAGAAATACAATTTGATGAGACTTTTGACCCATCACAGTTTTTGACACTACACAGTATCTATAAGAACAAATCATACCTCTTCTGTCACTCTCCATGGAAATATGCCATCACTAAATGTCATCAACTGTCTTCTGTCTCATATAGTGACATAAGCCAGTGTTTTAATACAGAATAATTGAAGGAATTAAATGTGATTCTTTATTGTGTTTTTCAGGTCACCTACTTTGGTCTGGCAGGGGGCTTAACAATAAAGGAAACAGTTTGGCGAATAATGGCTAAACTGATGACGAACCAGCTGGCCAAGCAAATCAACTGGCGTGGAGAACATGGGAAATATGGATTTGAGCAGCTTGTCCTAAAAGATGTTGTCCTCAGTAAGTTTTTTGTATTATAGGGTTTGCAGCAACCAATGATGTAATTATTTTGTCTGTTTTTAATGTAATAAAGCCAATAATGTAATATTACCAATAATATATTAACTTATTTAATTATTGCTGGTTTAATAACTGCTGCCGATAATATAAAAATTTCCTAATATCTTAATTTCCAAATATTACCCAAACAAGTAATCAAAATATCACACTTCGACATCTGCTATACAGTATTAGGAACAATTATGATTATGGGTTTGATAATGTGTAATATCTACAGTATATTTGAGTCCATTTTTGTTGTCTTCCTTAGAAATTAGGACCATTTATATTCAGTTGGTTAATGATTTCTATCAGCTCTATCGATTCAGGTGTGGACACATGTTTGCATATTCAGTTACTCATGTAAAGTGTACATTTAAATCTAAATGTGAGTATTCTGAAATAATGACCACATTCTTACATGAAAAGTCATTTTCATTGAACTCCTTAATTGAAGCACACACCTTTTTTCAAAACCTGTTAAAATTATTCAAACTATTGAGGTAACTGGCAGTATTATGTCCATGTTTCAACATCTTGATACAAAACTGAACCCTAAAACAGATAGTCCCAAGACTCTACTGTACATCAAGTGACAGTGTTTTTTTCTTTTTCTTCCTTCTTAATATTGCAGAATCAGTGCGGCAAAATTCTGCAACTGCAAGCGCACCAGATGGAGAAATTGAAAAGTACATAAAAAGGTGGTTGCAGCTGGCATCGGACAGGGATGGAGGAAGAAGGGAACGGCCGGGTTGCTTAAACTTAAGCAACCTGCCCCCACCCCGAAGAGAGCAATGTGCCTTTTTCCGACTGAGAACCATGGCCTCAGATTTGGAGGTGCTAATTCTCATCCCTGCCATTTCACACTCGGCTGCAAACCCCTCCAGTGCATGCTGTAGTTCTTGAACTGATGAATCCAACAGAACCACATCATCTGCAAAGAGCAGAGACAAGATTCTGCAGCCACCAGATGTCCCCCGTTTCCTGGCTTTGCCTAGAAATTTTGTCCATAAAAATAATCAACAGAATTGGTGACAAAGGGCAGCCTTGGTAGAGTCCAACATGCAGTGGAAACAGGTCTGACTTACTGCCGGCGATGCGAACCAAGCTCTTGCTCCGGTCATACAGGGAGCGGACAGCCCGTAACAATGAGTCCCGAAGTACCTCCCACAGGATGCCACAAGGGACACGGTCTAATGCCTTCTCCAGATCCACAAAACACATGTAGACTGGTTGGGCAAAATTCGACACTCGGCCGGATTTTCCTCTTCAGTACCCTGGCATAGACTTTGCCGGGGAGGCTGAGAAGTGTGATCCCCCTATAATTAGAACACACTCTCCGGTCCCCCTTCTTAAAAAAGGGGACCACCACCCCGGTCTGCCAGTCTAGAGGCACCATCCCCGAGCTCCACGTAATGCTGCAGAGGCATGACAGCCAAGACAGCCTCACAATATCCACAGACTTGAGAAACTACCTTAGCAACTTCAGCAAGGGTAATGGACAAGTCCTCTCCTGAGTCCCCAGCCCTGGTTTCCTTTACAGAACGCGTGTCAGGGGGATTGAGGAGATCTTCAAAGTACTCCTTCCAACGGTGGAAGGAGATGTGAGTTTCCTATACTTTTTATTAGCTATAAGGATGATTTAGTTTAGTTTTCTGAGAGAAGAGCAGTTAAACTGCTAAATCACTGTGAATGGGGATGTTATGGTTGGGGGTCCCTCACCGAGGGTGAGAGAGAAAAAAGGGGACTCAATGTGCAAGTTCAGGTGCTAGTGAGGAAGTGTCTTGATATTGTACAACATATGCATCTGGAGAGAACAAAGCCAATGAGGTATACGAGGTCCAAACCAGAGTAAAATAGTGGAGGCTGAGGAGACCAGGACGGGCAGGTGAGTAGACAGGAGAAGTACGCCACAAAAGAAATCAACAACACAGGAAAAAAAAACTGTCAGCATTGAAACTCACGTAACGTGTGGCTAAACTCATATAAATAACGTACAGAAGAAATCAACAGCACAGGGACTGTCAGCGTTGAAATCCAATGAAATCCAAAGTATAACACATACATATAATGCTCTGGTGACGAAGGAGCTTCTGCTAGGGGTTTAAATAAGCAGGGAAGGTGATCAGTGGAATGCGCCTCAGCTGTGCACTTCACCTAACGAGACGCTGATTACAGCATGCACCACAGCTGAGGCACCGAGCCTGCAGGAGAGTGGGAGAGAGAAAAGAGGAAGAGAGGCAGGTCGCGCTGAGCAGACCTGACAGGGGAGGTTGGTCACAAACAGTCAAAAGCAGTCATGAGCAGTCACAAGAAATGCTGAATATTGACAAGTGCAAGACATATGCAAACGAGTTCTGAAGAACAACATTGTGCATGCCAAAAAAGGTATTAAGTGCAAACTGTGGCATCTGGTTGGATGGAAGGACTAAATCTACTGACCAGAATCCTTTAAAAACCCTGCCTAAAAGAGGAACGAGAGCATGTCATGAGCAGTCACAAGAAATGCTGAATATTGACAAGTGCAAGACATGCACCACAGCTGAGGCACCGAGCCTGCAGGAGAGTGGGAGAGAGAAAAGAGGAAGAGAGGCAGGTCGCGCTGAGCAGACCTGACAGGGGAGGTTGGTCACAAACAGTCAAAAGCAGTCATGAGCAGTCACAAGAAATGCTGAATATTGACAAGTGCAAGACATATGCAAACGAGTTCTGAAGAACAACATTGTGCATGCCAAAAAAGGTATTAAGTGCAAACTGTGGCATCTGGTTGGATGGAAGGACTAAATCTACTGACCAGAATCCTTTAAAAACCCTGCCTAAAAGAGGAACGAGAGCATTCCATCACAGTTGCAGCCAGAGGCTCTGTCCGATTGATTTTCTGACTTCCAGAAGACTGAGTGACTGAAAGAAGACAGCAGAAAGAGTGAGTAGGCTGAGGACTGGTGACCATGAGCAAACGGGCAGGTCGCGCTGAGCAGACCTGACAGGGGAGGTTGGTCACAAACAGTCAAAAGCAGTCATGAGCAGTCACAAGAAATGCTGAATATTGACAAGTGCAAGACATATGCAAACGAGTTCTGAAGAACAACATTGTGCATGCCAAAATTTTAGATTTATGTTTAGAAATAGTAATTGTTTATTTAGATTGTAAGCCAATCAAGACAATTGTTGATGGTTTTAATGGTAACTGTATTATGTCTGCATGCGACACATTCCTGAATTATTCCATATTCTTTGCTGTAACTCTTTTAAGCTTCTATATAAAATTCCTGAAAAGGTTTAGTACTCTGTTTATTGAGTCATGTTTTGATGTTACTAATTCTTATTATTTTAGTGGTTTTATGTTTTTAAGTGGTAATGTTCAAGGCAGACTATTATAAGACTATAATATAAATAGTTAAATGCAACTTCCTGAAAAGGGAATCAGTGATGATTGAAATTAACATTGGAATATTGACATAATTTTCAGTCATTTAAAAACAATCTAAATTAACTAGTCAATTGTTTACTCATTATATTACACACATTATAATTCAAATGCCCTATCTAAGTTAAACAGTACCCCAGTTGGCTAACACAGTAAATACTGACCAGTGATTCAATGCAGACTTAAGGTGATATGTAACTACATAAACATAAACACAACTGTGAGAGTAAAATATATAAACTTATGTATGCTCTAAACTAAATCCTAATTATTCATTTTCTTAATATGATAGAATAATCATATGCACACACAGTAAACAAACAAGTTAACTAATCAACAAACATAGTATCAATCTTCTACTAACTAAATTCTTAATTCAGTCTAATATTAAAACTCATCCTAATGTATTATTTTGTTAACAATTTTACTCAACAGCTTCTATATAAAATTCCTGAAAAGATTTAATACTCCACACTACTGCGTTTATTGCGTCAAGTTTTGATGTTATTAATTCTTTTGATTTTAGTGGATTTACACTTTCAAGTGGTAATGTTCAAGGCTGTTTAAGACTATAATACAAATAGTTAAATGCAATTTCCTGAAAAAGGAATCAGTGATGATTGAAATTAACATTGGGATATTGACATAATTTTCAGACAACCTAAATGAACTTGTCAATTGTTTACTCATTATATTACACCCATTATAATTCAAATGCCCTATCTTAGAACACAACTTGATAATGAGTTTAATCATATTGTTCAACCATCAAGTGTTAATAGTTTTATTCCTATGTCCAGGGGTTAGCATATCGTGGCCTTCATGCAGGGGGAACATGCTGATCATAGATGCTGCTGCTTTGAGTGGGTTTGACTGCCACCCTGCACTCTCTATGAATGCATGAGCACAAAATTTACAAGTGACTATAGACCTAACATTTTCATTAATCTGCCTGCGTTCACCCAAGCTGTATCTGATAGAACTCTGTGACCTTCTGTTCATGATCATGTTCTGAGTTTGCTGACGAATACAAAAATATAATAGGGGCAAGAACTAGAACTGTGAGGTCTTAAAGGCTGTTGGAAAAGCACTTCTGGTTAAGTATTACTTTACCGATCAAAGAAATGAGTAGTTAGAGTGGTTGTAAGGCATATACAGTATACAGTCTGTGCATTTAATTTAATGAGGTGAGCTGGGCATGCATAATTTTTGACTCACAGCTTAGGTTTTACTGATGCAACTGATGTTTCTGAAAAGGTTACAGCTGCAAGGTTTACATGGTTAATGTTCCCTTGACTTTAAACAGTTTTTTTTTAAAGTGAAGATGGTGTATGTGTGTCTGTTTTTGTGTATAAGTGTGTGTGCACGCCCGTGATTGTGGGGACCAAAATCTGTTCACACATTCACATTGTGGGGACTTGGTCTGGTCCCCACCATGTAAATCACTGAATTTTAGGGTGATAACTTGGTTTAAGGTTAGGGTAAGGCCAACAGTGGTTAAGGTTAGGGGAGGTATCCAGGATATGAAAGGAATGAAAACAAACATAGGTGTGTGGCTGTGGGGAGGGGCAGTTCCTGCTGTGCAGTCACCAAAAATGGCACATTTACAACTCACTTTCTTCCCTCTAGCAATATAGCTGTCCCCACTGTAATTTGCACTACCAGTCACCCGTGACTACTTCCTCCTTTTCACTATGCAGGCAACATATTCCAGCAAAGGGACAAACCTTCCCAGCATGACATAACTGTAAAACTGGTTAAATATTTTAAGGGCAAATATCACATGTGACCTTGGGATGCACTCTGTGTGTAAGAGGTGAAATTAAATCAATGGGCTGCCAGCATATGGGACCAATTAGAAGATTCCAAATAAGTGGCATTAATACAGCTAGCCTTTTGTTTTACACCTTTTACCTTCAGTAGTACTGTTCTCACCATATTTCTGGTACGATTACACTTTTTTTAACCAGGCATTTATATTCAGTTTAAATTATCTCAGCACATAGGCATTTGTTTTGATATATTTTAGGAATAAAAGAATTTTAATGCAGAGATTAATCTATACAAAATTTGCCCAATATTCACAGTGCACCCAGACACAAGCTATGCATATCAAGAAATGAGCCAAGAAATGCTCAATCTGTAACCATTTTATTACTGCCTTTGGGTCAGTAGCTTTATACCAAATTACATGTTGTGATGTCACTTTATGCAAATCACATTTACACACACACCATCTTTTGACCAAATGGGAAAAGGGAAAAGACAGAACACAAAGTGACTGTGAATTGCTCAAGATTCACTTTCATTCACAGAA